ATCAGCTGCTGCAGAATTACCCAGCAGGTGAACCTGCACATGTGTTAAGATTATATGGACACAGTTAAGTCCTTCAGGATTTAAGTTACTTACAACAAAAGGAACTGAGGAAGAACACGTACCTATACTTGGCACCTTCATCTTGATCCATCTGTGTCTGCAGCTGAGCAAACCAGGAGAAGAACTGGAAGAGATTTTATGGTGAGAACACCACACACCTCACACGCAATAAAATCAGTTACAAAAAGAAACCACCACACATTTATGAAATAGAAATTCAGGAGACGAGCTTTTGTTAAAAGCAGAGACATTCAACAACTTAATTATTAATCAAGAGAAAATACAACTCTAACACTGAACTAAAATGAAAAGGAGTGAACTTCATCTCTTCTTATTTGCACAAAGAACCAACAGAGCTGTCACACTAAAAACTGGGGGGAGCTGCCATTCTTGTACATTATGAGCCACACCAAAGATATACCCTACTCTCTAACATTCACTCAAAATGGAAAAAATATCCATTACTCAAAAGCTTAGACTTCAACAATGTTTTTCCCTCATGTTCCTTCACACATATTGAAAACAGACAAAAAAAAATTTAACATAGCCTCCAAGAAGCAGGAGACACAGATATTTAAAGGACCCTCTGAAGACTACTGGCTCCCCAGCATCATTTACCTGCTGTGCTGTTTCAATTCTTTCATTCTCCATCCCCAGCATGGCAAATCCTTTCAGGAGAACATCTTCCGTGGATTCTGGCACTGCAGCTGTCAGTGCAACAGACAACGACTGGGATGTCAGGCTGCATAAATCTTCAATGGGAAGCTGCTCACAAACACACAAAAACTTCAGTCAGACAGCTTAGAAGTTGGTACACCCAGCTCAAATACAGTAACACATTCCAAAGCTTCAATGTGAGAAAACTGCTGGCATTTACTTCTAGTGCAGGCACCTAAAATACTGCATGACAAACACAAAAGAAAGGATTTTTAGAAGAATAGTTCCTGTTGAACAGAAATTCTTACCCACCAGGATTATTTTTTTTCCTAAGCAATAAAAATATGGAAACAAGCAAATTGGGAGAAATCTTATTTGAATACTATTAGAGGCCATTAATCAGCTTATACACTGAGAACAGTTTAGCAGAACAAAGACTGCTCTGTGATCTTTGTTAGGATAAGACCTTTCCGATTCACTTGACAACTGAAGCATGTTTCCTAGTGATGAGAATAATATGAATAACGTAAAAGCAGAGAACAGTGTTAAAAACAACCTGGCAGCTCTCTGTAAGGTTGCTTACTCAGTAAAATGTTCATTACAATACCATTCTGGCTAAGAAAGAGCAACCAGGATTCACATGTTAAAAAACCAGGGTCTTAGGCCAAGGCTACATCAAAGGCAAGGGCCAAGGCCTTTGACATGGTCCCACACATTTCAGATGTGAAGGTTGGGCTATCAGGTAGATAAAGAATTGGTTGGATTGTCACCAGAGGGTTGATTGAAGCCAGAGGGTTGTTGCCAATGGCTTTAGGCCCAGGTGGAAACTGATCACAAGCAGTTTCTCACATTAAACTGTCTTGGGATCAGTGCTCTTCAACATCTTTACCAGTGACACAGACAGTGGCACTGAGTGCACCCTGATGATGACACCAAGCTGAGTGGTGTGGTTGACACAATAGAAGGAAGGAAGGGATGTCATCCAGAGGGACCTGAACAGGCTCAGAAAGTGGGCAAATGAGAACCTAGTGAGGGTCAACAAAGCCAAGTGCAACGTGTTGCATCTGGGTTGAGGCAATCCCAGATATGAGTACAGACTGGGAGAAGTCACTGAGAGCAGCCCTGTGGAGAAAGACTTGAGAATTCTGCTAAACACAAGGCAGCCCATAAAGCCAGCAGTATCCTGGGCTGAATCAACAGAGGGGTGGCAGCAGGGAGAGGGTGAGAGAGGGGATTGTCCCCCTCTGCTTTGCCTTTGTGAGGCTCCACTTGGAGTACTGTGTCCAGGCCTGGGGCCCCCAGCACAACAAGGATGTGGAGCTGTGGGAGTGGGTCCAGAGGACACAAAGATGCTCAGAAGACTGGAGAACTTCTGTGAAGAAAGGTTGAGGGATTTAGGTTTGTTCATCTTGAAAACGAGAAGACACTGCGGAGATCTCATTGCAGTTTTCCAGTAACTGAAGGGAGCTTACAAGCAGGAGAGGGATCAACATTCTATGCAGGTTTGATAGTTACAAGACAAGGGAGAATGGCTTTAAACTAAAAGAGGAGAGATTTACATTAGATGTTAGGAAGAAACTTCTTACTCAGAGGGTGGTGAGGCCCTGGCACAGGCTGCCCAGAGAAGCTGTGGGTGCCCCTTATCTAGAAGCTTTCAAAGCCAGATCAGATGGGATCCTGGGCAGCCTGATCTCATGGGCAGCAACCCCACCCATGGCAGGAGGGTTGAAAATAAACAGTCTATAAGGTCTCCTTCAACCTAAGCCATTCTATTATTAAAACACAGCCTGACTTATCTTGCTCACTATCTATATACCCTTTCCCCAAAATAGGCAGCTGGGGATTTTCCAGTGGCCACTACTGACCCTCCTTTTCCAACAGCTGAGGAGCTGCTGTCCTAACCCACTTCATTAAAAGCTAAAAACAGCCAGAGCCCTTAATGTCTCTGCATTCCCATTGTCCCAACTGTCAAATGTGTCACCTGTCTTGTTGCAAAACTGTTGGAGAGCCTTAAGAACACCCTCCAACAGCAGGACATCCTCCTAAAATCATTCTGGGTATCTGCCAGCTTTTACTCATGCAGTTACTGACAGCTCACATAAAAGAGGAAGCGGGAAGCATGAAATTTTACAGGTGTATTTCAGGAAGGAATTGGCTTACTCTCTCTCCTTTGTTACTGTAACCTTTCAAACACTTGCTGACAGCTAACTTGAATAGCTATATGGTATTATAACCTGTAAAATCATCTTCAAATAGGAAACTCTCACAGGAAATGTAAACAGAGAGAGTGGTGAGGTGCTGGCACAGGCTGCCCAGAGAGGTCGTGGATGCCCCATCCCTGGAGGTGTTCAAGGCCAGGCTGGATGGGACCCTGGGCAGCCTGGTCTAGTATTAAATAGGAGGGAGGTTGGTGGCCCTGCATTTGGCAGGGGGGTTGGAGATTCATGATCCTTGAGGTCCCTTCCAACCCAGGCCATTCTGTGATTCTGTAACTTTATTACCCTTTCACAGAGCCATTAAGGCTGGAAAACACCTCTAAAATCATCTAGTTCAACTGCTACCGCATCCCTGCCCACTCAGTAACCTATGCTCCTCAGTGCCACATCTGCACATTTCTTGAACACCCCCAGGTATGGCGACTGCACCACCTCCCTGGGCAGCCTGTGCCACTGCACCACCACTCTTTTGGAGAAAAGATTTTTCCTAACATCCAACCTGAACTTTCCCTTGTAGACACAGCAGCAGGCGAGCATTCATAAATAACTCATTGCTTTACCAGAGCCTGACATTTTATAACTGGGTAGGAATACACATCTTCCATGGCAACAACAAATCACTGAGCTTCTAAATGCCGTTCCTGTATTGATGTTGCCTGCTGGAGCAGTCGGAAATTGTGCAAATGAATAGAGCTAGGCTCTCTGTCAGCCGTGTCTGATGGAAGGACCAGAGGCCATGGGCACAAACTGGAGCACAGGCGGTTCCCTCTGAACACCAAGAGCCCTCCTATGCTGTGCAGTGACGGAGCACTGGCACAGGCTGCACAGAGGCTGTGGGGTCTCCTCCCTGGGGATCTCCCAGAGCTGCCTGGATGTGGCCCTGGGCACCTTGCTCTGGGTGTTCGTGCCGGAGCAGAGAGGCTGGAGCCGAGGGACCCAGAGTGCCCTGCCAGCCTCAGCCACGCCGTGGTTGTGTACCAGGAACTGACAGCGGTGACAGCACCTATGAACCGGATCAAAACCAGAGGCCACAAGAAACGCAGCTCCACGACGATGAACCGAGGGCTCAGGAGGACGCCCTGCGGCCACGCAGGTTGCTGGGACGTGACGGGAGCGGCTGCTCAGCTTCGCTGCGAATCCCACCGGCCCGGAGCCGGCCCGCCGTAGGGCCCAGCGGGCACACCGCAGGCCCGGCACCGCCGCGTAGGAGCCGCGCTGAGGCCGGACCCGCCGACGTGGCGCCGCGCTTCCCCCGCCCAGGCCGCGCCGCCGCCTCACCTCGGGCGGCACCGGCAGGTTCTCGGCCGCCGCCTTCAGCTCCAGCACCGAGTCGGTCTGGCGGTCGCTCAGCGGCGCAGCGGGGTGCGGGCGGCGATCCCAGAGGCTCAGGCGGTCCCGCGACTCCCTGCCCGCCGGCTCGAGGGCCGCTAGCGGCTCCTCCATGCTGACGGCGGCGGACGGGACGGGACGGGACGGAGAGGGGGGCGGAACGCGGCGGCGCTTCCGGGGGCCGGGCCGGGCCGCGTGGCGAGGAGGGAAGGAGAGAGAAAGCGAGCGGGCGCCCCCTGCCGGCGGGGAGGACGACGCGGGAAAGCCCAGCATAAGGGAGCCTTGCACAGGGGAGCCCGGAGGCTGCGGGGTTCCTGCTTACAGATCTCCCAGAGCCATAGAATCATAGAGCCACGAGGTTGGAAGCAACCTGTAAGACCATCCAACCATCCTCCCATCACCTCTGCTACCACAAGCACTAAACCAAATCTCACAGCTCCTCATCCAGACGCCTCCTGAACACTGCCAGGGACGGCGACTCCACCACCTCCCTGGGCAGCCATTGCAGTGCCTGACCACTCTCTGGGAGCAGTTGTCCTTCCTCAGGTCTAACCTAAACCTCCTCTGGTACAACTTGCGGCCATTTCCCCGGGTCCTGGACACCCTGCTCTGGCTGTCTCTGCTGGAGCAGAGGGACCCAAGTGTTAGGAATGACCCTAAGGTACCTAAAGAGCTACCCTCCACCCCTCCCGCCCCCCATTGGAATAGATGTGAAAGCAGTTTAGTGCCACTACCTGGTTATTTCAAAATCTTTAATACACATAATAAAAGTTAGACATAATTTGTACAAAAGTATTTACAAATATTTCAATTGCAGCGTGGCAACAACTACAGTGAAGATGAATGTGAGCAGATACACAAAACCCATCTGACCTGAGAAATGGCCTCGTATGCTATTAACAACCCACCTCCTAACCATGAACTTGTGGTGGGATGCCCATCCACAGGGCAGCCAGAGTGAGCACAAGCCCAGGGGGAAGAGTTGCCTATCTGGGTTATTACTTGATGGATAGGGTCTTCAGACACTGGGGATTTCATAGAAACATGAAGGTCAGAGAAGACCTCCAAGACCTTTTCTAGGGTTAGTGGCTATTTTGGAGAGGTACAAAAATTCTCTGTGGAAGTGTCTGCTTTTGGAGGCTGTGTTTTGTTTTCATAGTAGGGAACCAGCCTTTTGGGGGTGCTATGTGGGGGAATATTGCTTTTTGGTGGCTGGCCTTTTAGTGGTTCCTATTTTAAGGCACAGATGGCATCCCTTCCAGGCTGCTCCAGCCTTTTGGAGGGGGGGGACACCTATGTGGGATGTCAGCATTCTCAGTTGTTGCTGATTCTGTGAGCGTCTCTGCCATTTGGCATTGCTGTTTTTGGTGTTTTCTTTTGGTTCAGACTCAAAAATAGTGCACATCATCCACTTAATCACGTGAGCAAGCCACTGTGTCAAAGAAGCCAGAGTTTGCAGAAGTCACTTCACTTCTAGATGGCTCTCCTCCAAAGTCTTCTGATTACCTCTTCCTTGGATCTACTCAAGGTAACTTGCAAGTTGCTCTAAAGCCAGTGAGCTGAATTCAGTCTATGGGTCAGGACATCACAAGTCTAATTTCTTCAGCTGTTCATATGTCACAAAGAACTGAAACAATTGTTAAGGAGAACTGTTTCTTGTTCACACAGTGAAAAATAGTTACGTTTATCAAACTTCCTTCCACTGCTACCTCCTTCCTTTATACAGTGTTGATTGTTGGTAGTACTACATAATACAATCAAACTTGCTTTCAGAGAACTGCTGTATGTGGAGAACTTCAAGACTAGCTATGCCAATGGTTCTCCCAGCCCTGTTCCTAAGAATCTTGGAAAGAGAATAAGAGGCAGGAGACCCCTGAGACTTTCTTCTCTGCTTCAATGAACTGAAGTAGGTTTGCTCATGGGAACAGCATTACTATTGCCAGGTCACTTTCTGCAGGGCTCTGATTAGCAGGCAATAAAACACTAGAGAAAGTTGAGTTAGACTAAGATACATGGAAAAAGACTTCAAAGTGCAACTGTGAATATATATATAAAATATATATACTGACTGACTGGGAGCAGCTGACTAAGGAAATGATCCACCAGATGATGGCCCATTAAGGAAAAGTACTCTGACAACTTCTCAGTACCTGTTGCAAGGCTAGCTTAGTCTGTTTGGCACACCTTTAAAGGATACAATGATATTCCAAGGACCAAGTCTTAACCAGTTCGGCCAAAACCCTTTATAGAGTGCAAAGAAGCCCTCGTTCTTCAAGGTCTGGAAAACAAAACAGAACACATTTATGTAACTCAATCAGTGAGGAAAATTAGAAGTGATGAAGTATGCACATGACCCTCCCATTTCTTGCTTTAGACCCAGAGGTAAAAACAGGATCACCAGACAAAGGGGAACACAGCCTACTCTCAGCCTCTATGAGAGTACCTACTGCGAAAGGAAGATGATAAAACCTGTGTGTTCAAGCACTAAAAACTGCAGGTTTCTTTTCCCAGGTCAAACATACCCTAACTTATCTGCTTCCAGGGTGCTGCAGTAAGCCTGTAATAAGAAAATCTGAGCCAAAAGATACGTTTCAGCTCTTCCCTGTTGCTCACTCCTACTTGACTGGAAGGTACCTAGGATGGCAGCCATCCCTATGGCACAGCCATACAAACATACCGCCAAGCAAAAAAGGATAGTGGTATTTTTGTTATGAAATAGTTTTCAAATACCTTGCAGAAGTCACATCCCTAACTTCCAAACTCTGTATAAAGTAAAAAACAATGCTGCTAAGTAGACTTCTCATCTAATTACTGAAAACTGTTCACTGTATGTACACCAAGCTAGCTGTTTTTCTGACCCACCACAACAGCAGCTGCTTTTCACACCAAGCATAGAGGCAGTGCAGCCCTCTTGAGCATACAGAAGTTACTTGGATTAATTTCTACATGAACTCAGAATTTCAAGTTCTACACCTACGTTATTGTCCAGGCACCAGTTTCTACTGAAGATGATATGCAAGCTACTTACTTGCAACAAGCAATCCAAAGTACCCTTGTAGTTTGAGTGCCCCCCATTTGGATGGCTCGCCTGATTCATCATGCGTGTTCTCACCACATCAACTGGGTTGGATGCTAGGGCTCCAGCTAGCCCACAAGTAAAACTCGAGCTGAGAAAAGACAGTTTTAACAGAGTTTGACCTACCATGCTTACAAGCAAGCACAAAAGAGGAAAAAAAATAAAAATAAAAATAAAAAAAAGAAATCAACCCAGCCTCTCACAGAAAGAAGCGTCAAATCAGCACTTCTGATGCTTATTTAAAACAAAAAACAACAAGCCAACTGATGTGAAAATCACTTCTTGTTTACAATGCCTAATCTTCAAAGATTTCATATACACACCCTATACAAAGACACTTTTTACAGATGTTTGTACCTCTTCAAATAAGAATTATTTGACTTGAACTTCCCCAAGTTCAATTTTCAAATCTTCATGGTTCAGGCCATCCACAAAATAGAATTCCATATTCTAAAGAAAGTTAAAGTCAGATCCTAAATAAACTTCCATATTACGTGTCATTTCAAGTGCTATCACACTGAAAAGCATAAACACACCAGAAATATAGTTACATTTAGGCTGATTGGGCAGAATAGGATTGGTATCTTCTCAGAAGGGAAATAATATAAAATAAAATCAGGATTAATTCCACACAGCCAGTGGTGAGCTACGGGAGCAAATTTAATTAGACAAACTTACAGGAAGTGAGTATACACTGTGTCTCCCATATATCCAGACATGATTATTTGCTTCTTGGTGAAGTCATATACTGGTAATTCCACTCCAACAACTAAAGCAGCTCTCTGTGCTGTCAGAGATACCCCCTGAACAGTTTAAAACGAAAACAAAAACATAATTCATCTTCACGCACCATCAGAAAATATCACCTTTCCTAGTACAAAGCAAGAAATCACAAATCTGTCAGGTACTTCCCAGAATAAAGGTTGATTTCTGCTGCTTCTTGCTACTCCACCTCTCTGCTTAACCTCTAAATTTACATCAATGGTCAACTAAGATCTCAGAAACAGTTGCCCTTAAAACTAAATGCAAAATTAACAAGTAGGGGAAGATGGGCGGAAAAGCAAAACAGATGGAGAAGCTTTTAGGAAACCATTTCTATTTTCCAGCTGTTTCAAAACAAGCTTTCGTTAGTTACTGACAGTAGGCAGTAAAACAGACAACCTACAAGACTGAGTACAAGAAATCCTGAGCTAGAGAACTTGAATGTTTGTGATTTGTTTTATTTTCATTGGTGAGTTTCTGGGTGCTTTTTTTTTTTTTGTTTGGCTGATTTTTTTTTGTTGTTAACATCATAGAATACAGTCAAGATATTTTACAAAGCAAAAACAAGCCCTAGAAGCATTCACCCTAACTTAAGTCTTTTTTTTTTAAATGTTTTTAAAATAAGACTCGACTAGTGGTTGAATATAAGACTGGTAGAAATTCTTTGTTAAAAGTCACTGAGACACCAGGAGTGAAATAGTGAAGACAAACCACATGCATCTTAGCTACCTGCATATCCATGTTCTGCTTGAGAATACTCTGGATGAAATACAGTTGAGCAAAGTGTACTGAAAACACAGGATGTGGTTTGAAACACTTGCCTTCCATAATCCTTTAGTTCCTTCGTTTTGATAGATCTGGATAAAGTTGCACATCATTCCTCCTTGAATCACACTGCCTTGGGCTTGCATTCTGATCTGATATTATTTGAAGACCAAATTAGAACATTTTTCAATCAGAAGACCAATAACAGTTTAAGATAGTTTTAAAAAACACAGCAAGTTGCAGTCTCTGAAACAAGAAGGTCAATTTCTCTGAATACAAATTGATAGCTGGCATTACCACGATGCTAATTTTGAATCAGTATGAGGTGTAGTTTTTAGCTGCATTAAATCACCTCTATTTCTGTACTTGGACATTACACCATTTAGATTACACAGGCAGGTGGCTCCTGCAAGATGTCCCTTACAGTGCTCTCATAAGAACATCTCAAAAATGGAAAGTAAAAAGATGAAGATTTGGGCTCCTAATCATACAGCTGGTGATCACTCTGCCCTCTCATCTGCTGAAATCTCCCTCCAGGCCTCTCTACCCTTGAAGGATTCCACCGCTCCCCGTCATTGCAGATCAGAGTTGCTTACTGTGCACTCTACTGTATCCAGATTATTTATAAAAATGTTGAAGAGAACTGGTCCTAAAATTGAGCTCTGGAGAAACCCACCATGACTGGTCAGCAGCCTCATGGAACCCTATTTAGAACCTTGTGAGTGCAACCCACCTGCCAACTGTTCACCCATCCCGTTATGCACTTGTCTGGCTAAACATTTTGGCTCATGATACCACGGAAGACAGTATTGAGAGCTTTACTGAAATCCAAAGAGAGCCAAATACAGACACCACGTTGGGAAACAATTAATTGATGCTTTGTTTAAAGCACAAGCTTCCATTAGAAATGCCTTTAAATAACCACACTAGGCTAGGAAGGATGAATTTCACAGTGCTTTTAGGAAACACACTTCTCAATTATAAGCAGAAGAATTTTCTTTTTCATTAGTGGTGACCATTAAGTCAAAGGAGATTCTGCAAATCCTCAACGGAAAGAAAGATGATGCTAAGGACAAATTTCATATGCATTACAATTACAAATACATAATTACCTTTAAGACATCTGTCGGGTTGGCAATAGATGATGAAATTACTCCCGAAAGAATGCCACACAGAACATTTATCATCAGAGTTTCATCTACTCCATGAAAAAAAGAAAGAAGTTTAGCTGCACATTTACAAAGCCTGAAACCTCCCAAGAAACTAAACAGCCACACACAAACTGCTCACCTTCTGGATGTTCAACAAACATTCTTTTTAAGCTCTGGTAAGTGCCTATTTTTATAGTTCCATATGAAGCCTGGCGTAACATTGCAGGCGCAATCCTGTAAAAATGGGCAGTGATAATATTTATGCTCAGATTTGAGATAGTCTGATTGACAAATACTCTTCTGTAAAGTGGGAGACTGAAGGCAAGCTAGTGACCAAAGGCTTGTTCATTTAAATCTATACTTTAATCCAGACAAAAAAAAGGTGTTTTTTTTTTTGTTTGGTGTGGGATGGGGAGGCTTGTTTTGAGTTTTAGTGAGTGTATGTTTATCGTTTTAATAAAGACTGCAAGAGCATAAATGAACTGTGGGAGGATTACTTCCAGAGCATGCCTTGAACTTTGATCAATAAAATAGCTGGCAAGCTTGCCTCAAATAGCTGCAAATTACATCCATGCTACTTACACCTTTTAAAGAAAAACATGCATAGTTACATACATGCCAAAGTAAGAAAAAGTAAACTAACAAGAGTTAAGCTCGATTTTCTCCAGATGAATAACGAAACCACTACAGAAGCACTGCATAGGCAGAAGAACTGTAGCATCATTCTATAAAGTAATGTTATGCTTTGCTATACAATTTCTCAAGTAGGTCATTACATTAAAAAAAAAAAAAGCTACCAAGCTACCAAATGCTAAGAGCAGAGCCTGAAGTAATTAAGCTTGGGCTTTCAAATTGCAGACTGAGAAGAACAGCACATCTCCTCCAATTACCTTATCAACCTGAAACCCAAGAGTCTAACCACAATGGGTTTATACTCATCAATAGACTGGTCAGAAGATGCTACTGCAACTCAATTTGTATTACCCAGAGTATAAGGCTTTCAATCCTTCTTCTCTGAATATTCTGACCAGGGCATGCATCATTCCTCGGTAGCGGATCTCTTTATATTTGGCATCATTAACTTGACCTTGAATTTGCAGACGTGTTTTAGTCAGATCAATTGGGAAAGTACCTTGAAGAAAAAAGACAAACAGAAAAGCTAAGCAAGTGCTCACCTAAACAAAGGAGACAAAGAAGACGAGATAAGAAACACCAGCCTTTATTTCATATCACCATATATAAAAATGCTCCTGAAAAGAAAAGCATATGATCTGTTTTATCAAGACTCTACTAAAGCAGTTCATTTTAGTTCATCACCCCTTTCCTTCTAGACAGCTTGTCAGAAGCCCTCCCTGCTTCCCATCCAACTATTTCATGTTCACTGTGTTTACAGGTAACAACAGCTTTACTCGCCTTCCCTTGCAAAATAAGAGCTATGTATATCTACCATCAGATCAATACACTCCAAGAACAGAATCCAAAGACAAATGTCATATTAAAACAAGACATGGATATGAGTGTACAGACAGAAGTGTTTTTAAACCAAAGTTCTGAGCAACTGTTCAGTCAGTCCTGAAGAGACACTCTCCTGCTGTATGCTAGAGAATATCATGTAAGACCACATCCCTGATAGCACAGAACCAAGCACATACTAAAAGGCACTATATCTGAGCTAAAGGAATCACAAAGAGTTACAGAAATGCTTACCACATTCTGCAGTGATTGATGCTAAGCCTCCATAGAGAAAGGGCTTCCAGCTCAGTGCTGACATAACTACCTCTTCTTTCTGTGAAAGAGATGATTTAAAGCTTCAACAAATAAAACCAGTATTACATAAATATATATGCTAACTTTTTATTAAAATGTTGAGCCTTGGCCATTTAAAATGGACCTATCAAATAGCTAAGGGTTAAACCATTCAGTACCTTTGACAATGACAAGGCAGGAATACTGAATAAAGGCACCTGGATTCAAGCCTGTCCTTCTGATATATAGATATCTGGGCAATCATTATAATCATCATAAAAGAGGAAGAGTTTGCCTCTCAGGCATGTGTAAGGCTTTCCACAGTCAGAAGCCTGCTCCAATTCAGACATCAGTGAAGAGAATTTGCCAAAGTGACCACAAATCCTAATGAACTATGGCATATGCTTTGCAAGGTGCTCAAGTCATCCAGCCTTCTTGGCAAGGAGCTTAAGGCTGTAAAAACAGCCTGGCCCAGCCTTCCCCCAAACCAGCAGGTGTCTCCACAGCTCCTATTTTATCTTCCTTGTAACATGAAGACTTTCTACCCCCATTTCCTATGAGAGCCTCCTAAACCTTGACTCTACAGCACCCTTTGCCAGTTAATTTCGTGGAATAACTGCATTTGAAAGCTCTTCCCTCTTACTTTGTTTACTCACCTGCATGGCCCAGTTGGAAAACATCCCCAAGAAGCCAGGTATTTAGCACTGGCTGTTGTAAAGATTAACCTGCTTCGGCAACTTCCTGCCTCTGAAAGTGCTGTTAACCCAGTGTATGAGTGAAGCTTGCAGAAGTTGTAGACACTTTGCATGCTTGATAGTTATTGCAGCCCTAACTTCCCTTATTTCCTATTTATTTAACGAGGAAGGTACCTAGTTCTTCAGTCTTCTGACACAATATAAAGAAACTCAAAGCAGAGAAGACCAAATAATTCTGCCACTGAGCCCAGAGCAATCCAGCTCTTACCCTTTAGGATTGTACAGAGCACCTCAAGTGTGAAAATAAAACTAAAGGCACATAAGGTCACCCTTTATCCTGCCAAAACCAGTGCAGGTCAGATGAGGAACCACTAGCACAGCCGCTACCAGGAAAGCAGCAGAGCCACACGGTGCCAGCGAGCACACAGCCAGCTCCAGGTTCCTCACATGCCTCTGCAGTACCATGATTAACAGCTAATCAATACTTAATTAACAGAGACAAACCCAAGCTCAGTTTCCCCATTATCACCACAGAACTCCACCTTTGCTTTTGGCACTTCATAGACAAAATTGAAGTTTACCACTTCACCTTTTCCCCAGCCCAGGACACAACCAGACATGTTTCACTTCTGACAAACACCACAACGCTGATAGCAATCCAAAATCTGCCCGTGCTTCTGCAGGGGCTGCATTTCACCCCGTCTAAGCAACCGGCACACTAACACGGTACAGAAGTGCACGAGCACTGCCAAATAGAGGCTTATATGCGCACAGAGATACCAAGCTTTAGTTTTGATGTACGCATAGGCTACCCTAATGCAGAAACTTCACAGCCCTGCTCCCTGGTCGTACCCCGACATTAACCTCGGGGTTAAGGCTGTGTGCTGCTGCCAAGGTCTGCGCTTGTGCAAGGCACGCAGCACGTCTCCTGCCGCTACACAGAAGCTCCTCCACGTGCCTTTCCCCTCATTCCTGCCCTGCATCCTCCTTCCAGCTTTCTGTACTTCTAGGAAGAGACTGGAGCAGGATGGAACCCCACGGGTCCACTCGGCCCGTCTACCCCAGCTGATGTGTTGAGTTCTCGCTTTGCTTCTTACTCAGTTCCTTCTGCACGCTGACAGAAGAACAGGAAGCTTCCTCAAGAAATTCACATCACACGCACGAATGGAAAAGTACCTGAAATCCGACTCCAGACGTAAGACGAACGGACGCCTTCAGCTTTTCGATTAAAAAACGCGGCCGTGCTCAGCGCACCGCCGCTACCCGAACGTCAACAGGAACGCGGAGACGACACCCAAAGGAACGCGTGCTGGGTTAGCAGGAAACTTCCTGCATACTCGTCTTCCAAAACTCACAAGTAAACTCGATTGCAACAAGATGCCTGCGACACATCGCCCAGCTCGGCGAACGCACCGAGAAACAGCGTGCTGCCGACAGCACAAGCGCTACAGACCTCCGCACCGCTGCTCGCACGGCCCCGCCCCGCACCGCCGCGCTCCGGCTTCAACGCGCAGCCCCGCCCTGAGGGGGGGAAGCTGTGAGGAAGCGGGGTTAAAGGGGCCGCGGGGCGAGGCTGTGGGCGCCGCGCTGTCGTGCGAGGAACGGAAGGCAGCGAGCTGTGGGAGATCCGCGACTGGAAGAGGAGGGTATAGCCAGCAGGGCGAGGGAAGTGATCCTGCCCGGATTCGCAGACTGCAATCTCCTTTGAAGGAGCACTTCAGCTCCAGCTTGACCTTAATTTGTCCCTGAGTTGCAGGTTGGAAGGGACCTCAAGGATTATGAATCTCTAACCCCCCCTGCCACACACAGGGCCACCAACCTCCCCATTTAATAGTAGACAAGGCTGCCCAGTGCCCCATCCAACCTGGCCTTCCTCCAGCCTCTCTGGACAGCCTGTGCCAGCACCTCACCACTCTCTCAGTTACTCAGAACATTCGGATGAGTCCTCTCAATAACCTCTTTCCGTGTAGTTTCAACCCAGTTCACGTTAGAAGATACCGTAATGCTTTCATCAACAGCCAACAGGCTGATTTTGGCTAGCTGCCTCAAGCCTGACATCAGTGCCGTATCAGCAGCTGGCTTTGGTGCCCAGCATCTCTTCACGTGCCTCTGTGTGCCCCGTGTGCTGCTGGTCACACACCCTCACCATGGCTTTGTCCCACAGCCAGTTCCTGTCTGCTGGACTGTGTCAGGGTTGAGCTTTGGTTGATTGGTTCCCAGGCACCTGACTTTTCTGTTTTCCTCGTGTTCTTTATATTTGTTTTGTAATCAAAACACCCTCAGAGTATCCTGCCCAAGAGCTCTGCTTTTTGTGTTTTGATTCTTGTTTCACTGTATTTCCCCTGCTCCTCACAAGGGGAAATCATTCCCCTTCTGCTCTCTGTGGCTGTGAGGATAGAGTTTTACCTGGTGTTCTACTGCTTGAATGAATGGTAGTGAAGTGATCCAGATGGTTTTGGTCGTTATCATAGAATCACAGAATCACAGAATGGCCAGGGTTGAAAATGACCACAATGATCATCCAGTTTCAACCCCCCCTGCCACGGGCACACAGCTGCCAATCACTACACCTGGCTGCCCAGAGTCACATCCAGCCTGGGATTACACAGCCTGGCTTGTTGTTTTGTCACCACTGGAGAGTTTCCTTTGTCCTTGTAAACTTGCATCATCATCAGTGAGATCATTCATTTGCTTTGCTGTGAATGAAGTTTTGGTAAATGCACAGCCTACGGAATATCTTTTTCGTAATGTTTTCCAGTAATATGCACTTTTTCTACTCTGATTGTCACTGCAGACATTGTAACGCTGAATTGTGGAGGTTATAAACAGATTGCTCAGTATTTCCAACACCTCTGAGCATGGAAGCAGTTCCAGAAGCAGGGAAATCACAGAAGATGATTTTTGATCAGTATATGCACAGCCTCTGGGAGAGGAGCATGAGCAAAGAGAGATCAATGAGGTATACCATATAGGTGACCTTATTCTCTCTGTACTGGCTGGCTCAGAGTACAGGCATTTAAATGGTCTGGTTAAAGACTTCGTGGGGCACAGGCTCCTGCATCTCCATTAAGTTTATCTGAGCAGAGCTCATTCAATTAGCCTAGCAAGTCTTTAATCAGCAAAGATCTTACCTGCTTTACCTGGTTACCAGGTTACCTGCTTCCTGTGTCTATCGTGCCAGCACATACTTTTCTACCAGCCTATTTAATCTTAATGTTATCCCCTCTGAAATCAAAGAGTGTCAACTATTAGGTTTACTTGCGTCTGAAAAACCCTACAAGCTTAGCCAGACATTGGCTTCTGGATACCTGCCCAGAAATGGTTCAAAGATTTTACTTAAACCATTGTAGCTTCTGCTGCAGAGCTGTGATCCCTATTAACAGCAATATAACATAGCAGCTGGACAGTATAAACATCCTTTACATAGTGCAGGAGAACAGCATTAGCAAAAGAATACTTGGCACGCTGTGACAAATGTAGCACTTCTTGCGACGGAGAGATCAGAGCTGGGACTCACAATCCGAATCGTTCTGTCTGCACCACGGGCTTTTATTTTGCTGTTCTGCATTAGAAACAATGAGAGCATTTTTACATTCCTGTGAGCAACATTCTTGGTCAAAATAAGCTTACTCAGAAAGCTCAGCTGAACAGCCTCTTTCCTTCCTGATCCTCCTAAATGCGCTGCAGAACACATCAGTGCCCTGGGAAGCAATTTTTCGGATAGTCCACATTTCTCCTCCCACCCAGTGCCCTCTCCCAGTGGTTTTAGCAACCCCAGAGCACATCTCCCAATTTGGAGGTGTTTGCTGACCAACGGTGGTGGGATCAGGCCCTCAACCTTCTCATTATCATTGGCTGCTTCCTCCTTTCTTTTCCCATTTCACTGACTTCAAATGCACTGCAACAACTGGCAGCGTCACTATTAATGAACAATAGGCTCGTTAAGTAAACCTGGGTTTGCCTCCAAGTTTTGGCCGACCTCTCTCAGCCTTATGAGGAGTTTACTGTGAGAGTGCCAGGAAAGTCAGAGCTTTGATTTCATCTCATAACACCAGCACGAAGCTGATTATTATTTTGTGAAGTTCTCAGGGCAGAAGTTTTGGAGGTGAAAGCAGAAAAAGGTTTTTGTCACTACTCATCCCAAACCAAGGGTCTAAGCTCACATCTTCAACTGTTAGATTAGAAATAGTGATGGTAAGATATTTCATGTGCGCTGACTCTTAAGCTGCTGCTGCATGAAATTGAGCTGAATTTTTAGAGCACCTGATCCTCAGTAGTGTACATTTCACCCAAAGCCATGCTGTCACACCACTGTTGAGTACTGCTTTGTGAATATAGAGATGTAGGTTTAAACGTAGCCCATAGATTTCCTCTGTTGATTCTTGTTGACTGTGCCCATTGGGTTGAGCAGTCAAAGGTGACAAGACGTAATAGTAGCCACTTTATTTTTTGGTGATAGAGGCTGCCCAGTTTTATTCACAGTAATGCATCGGCCCATCCGGGCTCCAGAATGTTTCTGCTTCAAAATCTGCTGAAACACGTGCTGAATGATTGCCACTGCTGAACACCACACTTCCAGACATAGCTCCTGTCCATCCCAGCTCCCCAGCTTACTTCATACTTGAAGAGGCACTTCCAAACATAAACTTCAAAAGGTAATGGTCTTCAAAGGGCAGTCAGGAGCTCTGTGGGACAGGTAGAAATATACACTAAATGTTCTCTTTAAGAGCTGCATCTCAGCTCCTGCTGCTTGTGTTTTGAGCCCAGATTTGAATGTTTGAACTTTTCCCCAGGTAGCACATGACAGAGCAAGTTCGTGCCAGCTTCCAAAACTGGTTACCAGGGACCTCTCCTGACCTGAGACAGAAGCCAGTGTGAGCTGTGTGACCTTACTGTGGGTTGCTCCACGCTGGCATATTAAAAACTAAGCCTTTTGCTGTCTGCTTGACACTTCTGCAGTTATATTAATAGATTAATGCCTGAGTAATTGCAAGCAATGGAAAGAGGCATAAATACAGCACCTACAAAATAAGTGTGATCACAGGAAAATTAGGATAAGTCGTGCAAATTGGAACTGTTTTTATATTTGTAGAGAATGCACAAGATCCTGTAGCAAACGGAGCATGACTTCTGGCAATGTCATGTTATTTCTCTATCAACTGAACATTAACTCCAAATTTGTCCATGGAATACAAACTTCTTCTGCATTTGAGACATTCATCATGTCAGATGTAATACTGGCAGTAGTGAAGAGGCATCAGCTAACATATTGCAATAGCTGTGAACAAACAGTAATAATTCAGGCCATCCTTTTGTTGTAATTTAAGAGTGCTCAAATATATTATCTTGCAGAGCAAGCACTGAGAAGCAATCAGGAAATCATAAAAGAACTGGACAAAAAAAGTGCTGTGAGTGTTCATTGTTTGGCTTCATTTCATATTGCTATACACTACTAACATAAGAATTGTAACTAAATTGAAATAAAGCCATGGTGTCACTTACCAGAGCATGCAGAGTAAATCACAGCATTGTAAATCACAGCAGCCTGGCTAACTGCAAGATTAAAAGATTTAACAACTATGGTCATCTTAATATCATTACTGTATCTCTCACCAGACAAAGCTGAACATGTATATTCAACATTCTTACTCTCTGATTTCTATAGGGTATTTGCACGAAAAAACTGAAGGCTTCTGATTTTCAGTTCGTTCTCCATGAGTTGCAGGTCCACGTTTGTGACGTGCAGGCTGTAGCTTTCATATTTTGCATACAACAAAGTTATTTATAGAATCATATAGAGTCGGAAGGGACCTCTGACAGCCATCTAGTCCAACTCCCCTGCAACGAACAGGGACATCACAGCTAGATCAGGTTGCCCAGGGCTAACGTTAGTTAACGTTGTATGCATGCTAATGGGGTCTGAAATCAGAAGATGGAAGGCCAGATCCAGAGGCAAGAGCAAGATCTGAATGCCACGAGAAGTTTCTACCACCTTCTATTCTGCGATTTACAAGCTTAGCCCTGAGCACCTCAAAAAGCAGCTCCAGTGGAGCTGAGACATGGAACTTCTCATCTGTCACTCCAAAGCCCAGCCCTTTTTTGTGCCTCTCTTTGGGGATTAACCTTTTGAGTCTCGGGTATGCAAGGCCAAATGCCACACTGTGAGAACACGGCAGCGCTCTGAAGACGGAACTCCTGCATCAGCACCACTGAAGTATTTTAATCACAGTAGCAACTCGCATTCTTGTTATCCTTGAATAACTGTGATCTTTCTTCATTTTTGTTTCCCTGCCTGTGGAAAAATGTAATACTCTATCACAACTGTATTAAACCGAAAGAAAGGCTATGAATGAATAAGCGCGTGTGGTCTGCATAGCTACCAGCTGTCATGGCTGCTTACAGGAACAGAATAGCAGAAGAAATCAAGGAAATTATGAAGAAGAGTTTTCATAACTCTTCAGAGGAGGGAAGGCTCCGGGAGACTTCATTCCAGTGCTGGAAGGGAGCATATA